TTGTGAGGTGGGAGTCAGTCTTCTCCAGATAAAAGACAAGAAGAAAGGAAAAATTGTGCCAAGGAAGCGAGTTGTTATTAAAAAAAAAAATCATGAAAAAGATTGTCAAGCACTGGAACAACCTTCCTGAGGAAGTGGTGGAATCACCATCCCTGGAAGTGCCCAAAAGGCATGTGGATGTGGCTCTTAGGGCCAGTGGCAAACACAGTGGTGCTGGGTTAATGGTTGGACTCTTAGAGGTCTTTTTAAACCTCAGTGATTCTATGATTTTATGATTGTGAACTGTCTTTCAATAAACAGACAACAGGTCCATCAGGACAGCAGGGGAGACCCCCCCTCCAAGAACAATCCATCTTTCCTCTATCAAAACTAGAATTCACGTTACTCCAATAGCGAGGTGTATTCTTTTAATTTTGCTTCATTAAATTAACTACAGAGCTGAGCTGTATTTCTTGTCCAGAACAATTTGCACTATGTCATTTTCTTGTTTAGTTTAAACAACTGGCAGTAATAACACAAGAGCAGGTGAATATGTTACTATGGCTCCTGTTTGTAGTGCAGAATAACAGACACAGAAAAGGAGCACAGAGACAGGAAGGTCACACGCTTTGCCAAGAAGATCTGTCTTTTAATTCAGATTTTGGTATTTGTCAAGTCGTTCTTTCTGATCATCCTTTTTTGGAAGTGCAAATTAAATTATGTGATTCTATCTCCAATAACATTTTTTGTTTTCCAAGTGTTATATGTCTAAACACAGAAAGAAGAGCATTCCAAATTCATGGGATGAAGCAAATACAACCTCATTCAAACTACCTTAGAAATGAAAAATCTGTCTGGCTCATGGTTTTGACTGCTACCTGTGACACAGAAAGAAGAAAAGCACCAAATGCTCTCACAGTTGTTAATATATCATTAGCATAGTTTATGTTTGCTTTCGGCCAGATGTAATATAAAATAATGTTTTCATGGTACCAGATTTATCTCCTCATGAAGAGAAAGCTCACTATGTGACTATGGTTTGTCAGATTAATGCTTCCACCCCCCAACTGCCTTGTCTCCCCTACCGCAGGTGAGGCCAGGAGAACACACCTGTCTCCAGAGACACTAAACACAATTCCTTCATGACCTCTCCCCCTGACAGGTTGTTTTTTGTATAAGAAGTACAGCAGGTGCTGGAAAAGCTCAGCAAGGAGAAGATGCTTTACTGGTAAATATAAAAATGAAAGGCCTTGTTTCCCCAGTCTGTCCAAAACAGACTTCACTGTAGCAGGTGTGCACTTCTTGGATGCATTTCATCTTGTGCAGCACATGCTTGGACTGAAATGTTGCAGCAGACAGAAGTCAAGCCATGGATTTACCTTTTTTTTCCCCTACTCACACAGACTGCCACTAATTTCATCCAAGTCAGCCACCTACAAAGAGATCACTTAAGCCAAAGGAAGGAAGCAAAATGACATTTTTTTTCTTAGCAAGAAATTGTGTACAAATAAGAAGTGTTTGATTCTGATATAATTTAGTTCTATTATATAATATAACTATACTAGCAAACTATTAAAAATGCCCCCTTCAATTGTAACATACAACTTCTACCAATAACCTTTAGTCAAAGGAGAGCAACACAGTAAAGAAATCTCATTCTGTCTCAGTTCAGATAGCCAAGGATACATGAAAATTGCTTTTGTTGTGAATAGTGTTTATTTTTTTTTTTCCCAGATGAGATACTGCAAATCCTTTCTGCCCTTTCCCCCTGACCTTGACCCACCTTATCAGCTCTACCTCAGTCATACCAGACAGTCAGAGACACCCAGAAAGAAAGAAGGAGTTATCTAAAGAAGTTTCTTACTTTCCTTCTTGCTTTACTTCATTCTCTTTCTTACCAAGGAAAAGTAAGAAAAAAAGGCATGCCTTTCTCCCTGATAAAAATTCACAGACACCTCAGCAAGGAGACAAACTGGTCTGCTGCAGCACTTGTTGAGAGCAAGCAATGACCCAGCATTATTCTCTGCCAGCAATGACAATACAGTGCCAGATGGACTATCTGATCTCTCACTGTCTCTATAAGAAAGACCATGTCAATATGTTGATAAAAGGGGGCCAGATAGATTTGCTTGTTAATACTCTTGAAGGTCACAGGCAAAACTGAAATAATAAGCAAAAGGAATTTGACTACTCTGCAAGCAGCTCTCAAGCATTTATTGCCTAAATTTATGGAGTGGCCCTGTCATCTCTCACTGTAGAACCTTTCATGCCTCTCTATTCCTTTGTTTCAGTGACTTTACGGAGTAGCCATGCATGCACATGAATGCAATTTTTAAAATAGTTTCTACACAAACATGCTGAAATCAGCTGCTAAAAAATGTGATCAGTCTGGTTTTCTTCCCAAGCTTCCTAAGAGTCACACCATGAATTAAGTCTGTTTCTCAGAACAGAATAGCCAGTGTTTCTTTATCTAATGAGATGGAGATGCAACCTGGAAATAAAATTCCTGTTGTCTCTGCAGATGCACAGAAGCTGGCTGGTGCTACAAAATGTGCATTCAATTAAGTCAAAGACTGTTGATCGACTGTGCCTGGCAAATATTACAAGCATAAAAACCACACTGCAAATAAATGGTAAATATTTTGGCAGGTGAACATGTATAAATATATGGCAGGTGAACATAAGACTGTAAGCCTTCCATTCTTTGTCAGTTCTGTGCTGGCACCACAAAGGATCCTGCCATACAGGATGCAATGATGCATTAGAAACTTTGCGTATTTCCACAACTGTCTATTTCATGGCCTTGAAAAAATCGCCAACACCAAAGGGAATTAAAACCAAAATAGAGAGATGAGAGAAGATAAAACTCAGGTTGGGTAGAGAGAATGATTTAATCTTTAAATTGAATAAAAGAGATACTAGAACAAGCTTTTTTCTAATTGCAATCTTTAGGGAAAACAAATAGTGGCTCTTTAAACCATCAATACTTTTGTTCTTACTGTTTCACTAGGATAACTGAGTTGTAAACTACACAGGGTGGGTGAAAGGGAATTCTTTGAGGAAATTGTAGCAAGGGATCTTCCAATTTGATAAAAGGCAATAAAAATCCTCATCTTGAGGATGAACAGCTCAACCTGAAATGCCTAACAAAGCAAAGAGGTCTAGTTTTATTTCGCCATGTTTGAGTTGGGATGACTCGTCAAATGACTCTTCAAGAGGTCCCTTCTGACCTCAGTTAGTCTATTGTTATATGTGTGTGGGCTGACAGGCTTGTACCTATGTGAAGATCACTAAAGCCAAGTGACTTAGAAAGAAATCTGAGAAAAGACAACATGTCTAAGCCACATTAATCTTGCTGTGAATTAAAAAGTTTATTTGGGAGAAATTACTTCATCTGAAAGCTGGAAAAACTCTCCATTTTCCTCTCCAGTGTTCTAACAATCTATGGAGAAAAAACTTTTCTTGTAGCTTAGTCTTTAAGGGAGAAAGGTATATAAAAAAAGTAAAAAACAATACAATTGATTCAGTAACAAATAAAAAACCAGAGGTTACACAACAATGCACTTCAGCAAACTTAACTTTGTGTTTGAAGCTCTAGATATAGAAAGATAAGGACATGAGGAGCTGAGATGTTGTATAACTGAGAAAAATTACTTTCAAAGTATTAACAGCATGAAGAAATCTGATGACTTCTAAGAAAACTAGCTCTTGAAAGAGAGCAAAGGCCAACCTGAGCTAAATTAGAGCCTAACACCATTTATCTAGTGATTCAGAAAATGCCTTCCCTGCAGATTAATTTCTCCAGCTGGAAGAAATTTTTTGAACACGACCATTGAAAATGTTGTCTGCCTGAATACAGAAATAGAAGCAGCTGGTCAAACTCTGGAAATTAAGGTCCTCAGGTTAGAGATTAATCTTAGAGTTGCCCTAAAATGCCTCCAGCAAAAATCCTGCAGCTGATAAAAGACTAGTATAATCATATCTGAGCCAATTTTTCTAGCCTGTGGCAGTACAGTGGGCAGATCAGGTCGAAGATGATGTTTCAGGTCCAAATAAGATTTAACTGAAAGGCTGCATCACCATTCCTCTAAAGTCAACATTCATTCTGAGACTAATAATGAATGTCACTTATGGCATTTCTTTACACAGTGATAATTTTTTCCAAAATACACCTCTGGAACTGCAATCAGACCTATTTCAGAAAACATTGACTCTGACTTCAACACACAGAAGTAACTGTACAGTCTAGGCTGATTCAGATCTTACTCATCATTACTAGGGAGCCAAGTAACTGATTCTGTGAGATTCCTGGTCTATTTCAGAATATTTAATAAGTTCTGGCGTGCTTACAAGGGGCAGAAGAAGATGGGATGGATAATTAAACTCTGTGAAAATTTAATAACTTCATCTGTAGTCTGTTGTTACATCCACTTTTGCCCTTTGCAGTATTCGCTGCAGTTAATTTTGTCCTGAGAGTAGAGATTTGCCTCCAGAGAAGATGCACATAGTCTAGAAGGAACCATTTGAAACTTATCTGCTAGGGACTCACCCATCATTTGGAAGAAGATGAAAAGGTGTAAAGGTAGCTTGCTTTAACTGATTAACTGGTAACTTTGCAGCTGGTTAAGCTGAACAAATATTCAGAGCAGGGATCATATATTTCTACTCTCTGGATATCATCTGATACACACTTTTATAGAAATAAAAATAATGAACCAACACAGCAGTAACTAGGTTTAAAAATCTTTCCAGGTGATTTTTAAACAACTGATTAGTGTACATCACAGAAGGAAAGTATTTTAAACAAAATAAAAACCCTCCACACTCTGCCTTCAGTAATTTATTTTCCTGTGGCCACAGTGTCTTTTCCTTGTCCATGGCAACTAGCGCTACCATCTGTAGGACCACCAGAGGCTGAGTGTGGCAGGATAGTACCCAGCAAAAGAAAAGGCCACGACCTGTCCCAAACCCATTTAACGTGACAGAGAAGAGCTTCATTTCACACAACATGGGTTACTCACGGCTCAGCTTCGATGCTCTGGTCAGCAGCAATGTAGTTGGCAGGGATGTAGCCCATGAGCTTGCGGCCAGGACAGACTGACCCCTCTGGCAGGAGGAGCCTGGCGTACCACCATCCCTCATGGGATGCTTTCAGCACTTCCAGCTTATCCCCAGCTCGGAAGCTCAAGTCATCCTCAGTGCGAGCATCATAATCGAACAGAGCCACAAAGTTGCAAATGTTTGCTAGCCCCTGGCCAGGCAGTGGAGGTAAAGGTTTTTCTTTTATCTTACTCTCTAAGTCCTTCTGTCCTGCTTGGAGGTCAGGTTTTACCACAGCAATGTTGGCAAAGACCTGGCCCCCTTTGTCTTCCTGTTCACCATTTGTCCCACAGAATAAGCAGGGAAGGTAACGCTTCAAACAGGGACAGTGCTTCCGGAAGAAGTTTCCCATCTTGATACTTTGTTGCCTCCTCTGCTTCTGCTTTTCTTTTGATTTTTCTGGTTGCAAGATTCTTAGACCAATTTTTGCACCATCCACATCTTAGCTTTTTGCGGACTTCTTCTCCCCCTTCTCCTTTGGCATAAAATGAAACAGCTCTTGGCACAGCTGGAAGCTTCTCTCTGGGTCCCACGGAGAGCTCATTACAGACGGCTCCCAGTTAGGGAGTGAAACTTAAACATTCAAGTGCCAGCACAGGTATGGAGGGAATTTTTCACTTCCTCTTCAGAAAAAGGAAAGCAACAAATCAGCTGTGCTGGGCTGAGCTCTGAGAACAAAGTGTGAGCCTCTTCTGTTACAGCAAAACAATAAAGCCAGAACATGTAAACAAGGAAGGCTTTTCAATTCCTTCTGCTCGGGATGGGTGTTTTCTTATCTCAGATGTGGTCTGGTCATGTGATCAGTGGTGAATGTCTGCCTTGGCAATGATTAACCAAACTGACGTGCCTGCTTCCTCAGCAGTCTGACGTGGACAGCTTGAATGAATATTTCCTTTAGCTCCCGGTTTGTGCTGGTTTCGGTTCGCAGTTCGCTCCCCTGAGACTGGCAGATGCCCTCGGCAGGAGTGCACCTGTGGCTCCTGCCCTCACTCACGCCCAGGTGCATTCCCTGCCAAGCACCCGCCCTGCAAACAAACACTACGGCGCTTTTTTTTTGAATTTTATTTTTTTATTCAGCTGGGATGGGCACTTTTTACAAGGAAAACCAAATATATATGGCTTACAGTAATAAAGCAATATATTTTAAGGCATTCCTTATTCTGCATTTTAAGGAAACCAAGGCACTAGCCAAAAAGCATTTCTCTAGGTGACTGGCTGATTAAATCAACCCTATATAAAAATAATGGCTGTTTTCCAGTCAGCTTGTAAAAAATGACACTGCATTGACAGTATATTCCCATTTCTAAAGTATCTCTAATCCAGCATACAGACCAAGCATGGGTGTCTGGATACTGTGTGGCTGTGGTAATGCAGGCTGAAGTGTTGGCCATCACATCACAGCAGTGCAACCCAAACTCTGTAACACCTGGAAATCAACACAGCCCAGAGGACATGGAATGACTGGAACAGGAGCAGGAAGCACAGAAGATACAGCGACAGCCTGTCTGCACATAGTGGCGGCATTTCAGTAAAAGATAAATTTTTACAGATCAGCGTCTATTTATTGAGATCAATCAAAACCCACACATGGACCTATAACTTCCTGGTGATTATAAAAACGGAGTCCTATAATTTCTTTCCTTTATTGTGGTTTTTTTTTTTGGTCAGGAAGCTGACTTCTGTGGTTTTATTTTACTAGAAAGAAAGCACCTAAATAACAGAAACCAAAGTCACTTGCTTTCATCATATCTCTCATTCATTTGAGTGAGGATACCAGTGGCAGAGGCAGTAGGCTACTGACCAACTAGAGACTGTGGGATGACTAAAAGATATCTCTATTGAAAGTGATAATATTAGTATCAGGTGCATCTCCACTGACACTCAAGAGGAATGAGAAACTGCTTGTAAACACTTTTGCAATGCTGCAAAAGAAATTAAATAAAGGAGGAAGTACCATACACATCAAGTCACCACTAAACTTCATCATCTTTAGAGTTTGATTTAAAAAAAAAGGTATGCTGATTTGGCAGATTATGATGATCTTCTTTCATTTCTGAAGCATCACTGGAGATGATTTTTCACCAGGAGTTATTAACCATATTATAGTAAGAACACAGATATCCAAGAGACATTTGCTTTTCCTTGGTGTGAATAACACTATCCAAAGGAAAGAAAAGCCTATATTGATAAAGAAACCATCTTCATTAGTCTAGTTTAAAGAGTTGATTACATTTACTGAAATCAAAAAATATTAGAAACTACTACTAAGTAATCTCACAATTTTCAGTTTGCATCATTTGATCTTAATTTTCCTATAATGGTTTTTTGTTCTGGCAACTTGGGCTTTAATTTGACAAAGCTTTGGAAACTCATTTCCTGATAGCTTCTTCATGACAACAAAGCCATTTGCATCATACAGAATCAAGCTGTACAATGCACAATCATTTTCAGGACCAAGTCCAACTTTTACACTCAGGAACCAATATACAAACACATTAGAAATCACACTGCATTCACTGAGACCACTCAGATAAGTACTTATAACTGGAGTTACAAGAGCGCTTAAGCCTACAAATAGTTGTGTATATGACTACCTTATCTCAAAGAGTTCCAGGCATTAAATTCATCTTCTCCCTCAATCTGTGTCCCTGCTTGGCTTTAGAAGAACAGAAAGACTTTTTCTGAAAGTGATCAATAAATATAAATCAGATTCTTTTCATCCTGGTCTTCAGGACCAGTTCTATGTATTAACCAAGTCGACTTTAAAAAGCAGCCATTAAAATCATTAATCAGATTTAAAAGACTTCTCAATAAGAGAGAAGATTGGAGTTGCTGAGAACCACTGAGCAGATTTCCTATCCCATGTGGGAGAGGACAGTAAGTGAGCTGTGGTGGTCACACTGCAGCAGCTTCTGCAAGGGTCTTTGTTCCCATTCTGGTGACTTTATTGAGGATTCACTGCATTCCTGAAAATAAAGAAATTCTCTTACTAGTTAAGAGACTATATAATTTTATCATAGGCAAGAAAAGAAAATTAGCATGAAATAAAAATGTTCTTGCTGGTTTTACAGAAAAAAATAAAATCTGATAAATCCCATAATCCTGATTTTCATATTCACAGTTTGGAACAAATGAGGGTAATCACGTATATTCAGGGGCTTTTCAATATAAACTGTTGTCCAAGTCCTCTGCATTTGAATTACATATAATTTGACAGAATAATCTTTGCATTACCTATTCCTTGATTTAACTTACTTCTTTTGCCTTGCATCCCACTATATTTTCCATTTTTTGCAAATCGGGCCAAAGAGTTCTGCATTGCTCCTTGGCTTCCTGTAACTTTATTTAATTTGTTTAGAACAATTTAAATTGTAAAAAAAATAAGCCACTGGAGGTAGAGTGACTGTAAAAGACTTAATCAGAGATATTAATTTTATTGGCAAAAGTGGTTTAAGAAGAATGCAAGGGTCTCACCTCCTTTGTGCAGCCAGCAATAGCTAGCAAAAAAGATGAATTTATTATAACCAGAATGGCACATTTACAGTATGAATACTGAAATTTAGTATTCTGGTCCCTATATTAAAAAAAAAAACCACCAAACACTAATATTGTAAGTAATTTCTTAAAATACGCAACACCTTGAAACAAAGATTGATCATTTAAAAGCTGAGTCTGACAGGACTATATAAACTTAGACTTTAGAAAACAGAGCAAGTCTATTCAATCAAGCACTACTTTCCCCCTTCATGCTAGGTAATTTCCCATTTCTTTTAGTGTATATTTTCTTGTTCCATAAAGAAAAGAGTGTACACTGATGCTATAGGTTTGAGGATAACAGATATTTGAAGTTACATTTTATGTTTTCTATATATTGCCTATAAAGTCCAGTATAAGTAAGACTCTTGCAAGGAGCTTTGCACCTGCTTAAACAATTAATTTGAAGTCCTCTAAATCCATTAAATCAAATTCTAATTAACTTAGAGTCAATATCCCTTAGGCCTTATTCTACAAAACAATCCTGTTTAAACGCAGTGGTGAAACATATTTTTCTTAGTTGACTGAATGGACAGAAGAATAATGTGCTAACATTACATCCTTTAGTAAACTTAGTACAAAACTAATCTGCAACACTGACATTAATTGAAGTGATCTTAGAATCAGGTCCTGCTCTGCATGAATTAAGGTATCAGACTAAGTTGTATAAAATAAGTACAGATAAGATCTGAATCCACAATATTTTAAAAGCCTTGTTTTGATAGAAGTTCTATTTGTGTTACATGCCTTCAAAAATTATGTAGTATGAGCTTGCATTACAGATAGTTCCTACATTTATTGGTTTGTATATGCTCTATGTGGAACTATTGGCATGAATACATAAAAACTTAGGAGTTTCAGAAAAAAATGTAGCCTCCTTCAACACATAAATATGCTGGTTCATATTTTAGAGACAAGGAGTGGCATCACTGAGACTCAGTCTTCAGTACTGATGATAACATGGTGTTTGAAACCATTCCCCTATGTCATGCAGAGAATTGTAGTCTGAATAGTTCTGCTGAAGAAAAAAAATATTCCAAGGCAATATCCATCAACAATTTTTTAATGAAATATGAGTCAGTTGAAATTGGAAATTGAAAAAGACAGTGGTTTTTCTTAATGAGATCACAATAGAAACAGGCATTTTCATTCATAATTGCTTTGAATTCTGTAAAAGGAAATAAAGACTCCATGTAAGGAAATTAGAAATTAAGGTATAAAATACAAGAATTGTAATTAAATAATCTATGATGCCTGTAGCATCACTTTCTATACAGTATAATCTTTTGCAAGGCAGAAGCTATACTGCTGCATTTAATGTATGCTAGTTTAAATATTCGACATTATTACCTTGCTTAGAAAAATTTCATAATGCATTACAATAAAGCAAGTCAAACCTTTCAGCAAAGTAAAATATTCAAATAATGTGAACTTTAAAGAAGTTAGCAGAAAACCAAAAGCATATTGCTTTAAATCTGTTCTTGGGGAATAATTTAAATGACTAACCATTTTAAAGTTGTGTAGTTTTTTTAAGGTAACAAACTGAAATAAAGCACTGATTTTTTTTATTACAGCTGTCTTTTCAGCCATATTTCTTTCCATTTGCACATTAAAATGGAACATATTACTACCACTTTGTAGCTTTTTTATATTCCTTTTAATCAGCACTTCCATTTTGTTTCTCTAATTTGCAAGTTGCCTTTTTTCAGTGAAAATAAATTATGTGTGTAATTTTACTCTTGACAAAATTGTTTACTCTTATTGATTAATCACTTTCCTGGTTTTGTCTATTATCTTAAACCATAAATCCATGAAGAC